TGGCAGTGAAGCGGAAGCGACGCGGGAGAGCAGCATAGTGGCGCGGGAGCAGGAGCAAAAATTGCGGGAGCGATATGGTAGCTTAAGCAGCGTCAGCTAAGTTTTACGAGAAAAAAAGGGAAAAAGATTAATTAAGATTTTTATTAAAAGAATTATAAAAAAAGATAAATTATTATTTCTGAATATAATAATTTTTTTATTTTTTATAAAGAATAGTTTCTAAAAGAATTATAAAAAAATATTATTTATAAAATTTTCTATTAATTTAAATATTATTAAATATTTCCAACAAATTTAAATTTACAAAAAAACTTACAGAAAATAATTTTAAATATTTATCAATTTTTTTAGATATTTAAAAAAATTATAATTATTTCTAAATAATTTATTTTAGATAAAAAATAATTTATATATATAATTATATATTTATAGTAAATTTGGTAAAAATAATTTTTTTAAGAAAAAATTGTAATTAATTTTTATTGATATTTTTTCAAAAAGATCAAAAATTATTTTTTATAATTATATATTTTAGAGAAATTTACAAGTATATTTTGTAAATAATTTTTTATAAAACTAAAATAATTTATGAAAATGGTTCCCAACAATTTAATATTTTTTTCAATTTGAAATTTTCTATAAATTTGTTATAGTTTAGCTATGATTGTATATTATACAATTTACTAGGAAATAACTTCAAAAAGTAACATAACTAATATTTATAGTGAGGGATTAGTGACAAAAATTTTCCTAACTAAATTATTTTTCTGCTAAGTGAGGGAATAGTTATAAAAATATTAGTCTTCTAGCTATTTTACTACATATTAGCTACAACATTATTCTTTCACTATTCCATAGCTAATTAGCTACAAATTAGTAAAAAATAAATTTTGTAGAAAATTTTTCTAGCTAATTATAAAATTTCTTGTGGTGAAAGTTTTTAACATGATTATCCAATAAGAACGTCAATAACATTATGTTCTTAGTTCTTCGGAAATTGTTCTTGATTCACAAGCCCTAGTTGCTACTACTTCTCCGAAGTTGTAGTTCAAGAATGACAATGTTTCTAACTCAAATCCTTTCTATAGAGGACGAGACAGAGGTCATTCATTTCCAAGGGATGGTGGCAGAAATAATGGAGGGGGAAGTTCCCATGGTAATATATTTTGCACTTATTGTGAATGCACAAATCACATAGTAGATACGTGTTATTTCAAACATGGTGTTTTTCCATCTGACCCTATTATTATCAACGTCTCCAACCTTCATGAGATCTTATGGCTAGTGCCTAAATTTACTGAAGAGCAGTGTCATGACATTTTAACTCTTTTGCAACAATCCAAATCTCTTGCGCATACAACAATTTTGGTGTTCACTCCTTCGGTTAATTCTTCTTCCACTCTTCCTAAAACTCCTTATGTTCTTCCAGGTAAAACATCTCCTTAGTGGCTTCTAGATACACGTGTCACTGATCATATCTTTTTTGTTTTTCATAGTTTTGTTACTCATAAATCTATTTCACCTATTTTTATTATTTTGCCAAATGTTGTCCAAGTTTTCACTTCTATATCTACTATTATGTTGTTAGATTCCTTAATCCTTCATGTTCGTTCCCAATTTATATGTAAATCTCATTAATCCAAACCTTGCATTGTCATCTCCTTTTTTAATCTAACTCTTGTGTTATTTTGCAACAAATCTCCCAGAGTATGATTGGTTCGGCTAGTTTGCACCAAAGATTGTGTATGTTAAATTTGTCTCACTCACTCTTATCACAACCATTATCCTGTTTCTGCTCTTACCGCCGCTACCAAACTCAAAGATGCTTTTCTTTGACATCATAGATTAGGTCATGTCTTTGATTATATTTTTCGTATCATTTCCCAACAATATCCTTTTATCTCTTATTATGTAAATCCCTTTCCTTATGACATTTGTCATTTTGCTAAACAACACAAATTATCTCATCATGGTAGTGAAACATAGTCATATAAAATTTTTGACATTATTCATGGAGACATACGAGGAACATATTATGTACCTTCTAATTGCGGTTACAAATCTTTTCTCACTTTAGTTGATGGTTACTCACGTTTTACCTGGATTAAATTTATGAAATCCAAATCTGAAACCCACATGCATTTAATATATTTCATTTCATTGATTGAAACTCAATTTCATACTAAACTCAAATGTTTTCGAAATGACAAAGGAGTAGAATTTTTATTAACTGATTTTTTTCATCCAAAGATATTCTTCATCAAAGAACTTGTGTTGAAACGCCTCAACAAAACGGTATTGTTGAACGCAAACATTAACATTTTTTAAATGTAGCTTGAACATTATTTTACCAAGCTTAACTACCTCACATCTTTTGGTCTTATACTGTTCAACAAGTTGTTCATATCATTAATAGAATGCCTACTCTTTTATTGCATTTTAAATATCTTTATGCAGTGTTATATGATAAACCACCTAGCATGATCCATTTAAAGGTTTTTGGTTATCTTACTTATGCCACTACGCTTCAAAATCACATAATTAAATTTCAGTCTCGCGCCAGCAAAGCTATTTTCTTGGGATATAAGAAATGTACTAAAGGCTATATTATGTATGATCTCCATACCGATCATCTTTTTCTTTCATGAAATGTCATTCTTTATAAAATTGTGTTTCATTTTCATTCCTTCACCACTCCTTTCTCAACTTCTTCTAGTTTTCCTCTATTATTCGATATATCCTCTTCAGCAAATACTTTATCCTTGTTCGAGCCTATTCATCACCCTCTTACTATAGACATTCCATCTATATCCTCTCTTGCAAATACCTTATTCTTACCCGAGTCTGTTCATCACCCTTCTACTACAGACATTCCATCTATATCCTATCCTACAAATACCTTATTCTTGTTTGAGCTTATTCATCACCCTCCTATTATAAACATTCCATTTACTATAAATTCTAATTAGAACCTTACTTCTCCTGCCCCGCCTTCTCCACATATTAGACATTCCACCCGATCTCATAGACTACCATCTTACCTAACAGATTTTCATTGTCATTCTACTGTTGCTTCTAGCAGTTTCACACATCATCTTAAAGGTACTTGTTTGCATCCCTTATTCTCAATTCTTGATTATTTCAAATGTAATTTCTCTTATAAAAGTTTTTGTTTTGTTGTTACTAATATTTTTTTAACCTACTACTTTCTCCCAAGCATCTAAATTGTATTATTGACAAAAGGCTATGAATGTTGAGTTACAAGCTTTACAGCAAAATAACACCTTATCTATTGTTGATCTCCCATAAGGAAAAAGTATCATTGGTTGTAAATGGGTTTATAATGTTAAATATCATGTAGATGATGTTGTTAATAGATACAAAACCCGCTTAGTGCCCAAGGGCTACACTCAGATAGAGGCAGTGGATTATTTTGACACATTCTCCCCGGTTGTCAAGATCACCATTGTCCATGTTCTTCTAGCCATAGTAGCAGTTAAAGGATGGTTTCTGCACCAGCTTGATGTGAATAATGTCTTTCTTCATGGAGAGCTTCATGAGGAAGTCTATATGGTCCCTCCACTTGGTTTGCTTCCATCGAGTTCTTCTTAGGTTTGCAAACGTCACAAGTCATTGTATGGACTCTAGCAAGCCAGCAAGCAATGAAACAATATTCTTTCTATCACTCTTTTATCTCTCAACTATAAGCAATCTTTCGTTGATCAATCTTTATTTGTCAAGGTTACTTTCACTTCTTTCATAGTTTTATTAGTTTACGCGAATGACATTGTCTTAGATGGTGATGATATGGATGAAATTAATTCTGTCAAATGTATTAGATACTAAATTCAAGATTAAAGATATTGATGCTCTTCGTTATTTTTTAGGATTAGAAATTGCACGGTTCAAGTTTAACATTCACATGAACCAACGTAAATACACTCTTGAACTTTTTGATGATAGTGATTTACTTGGTTCCAAACCTGCTACCACTCATTCTGCTCCCTTTACTAAACTTAAGGCTAATCACGGACAACCATATTCTGATACTGCTGCTCATCGCAAATTAGTCGGTAAACTATTATATCTCACATTTACGCTTCCTGACATTGCCTTTTTTTGTCCACTAATTTAGTCAATTCATAGCTCAACCTCTTGATGTTCATTATAAAGTTGTCATCTGAGTTCTTAGATACTTGAAATGTTCATCTACCTAAGGGTTATTTTTCTCTGCTTCTGTTAACATTCGTCTTTCTGTTGCTGATTCGGACTAGGCCTGTTGTTTGAACACTCGCCACTCTATTACCGAATTTTGTGTTTTTCTTGGTTCTTCCTTAATTTTTGGAAATCCAAGAAGCAATATACTGTCTCTCTTTCATCCTCCAAAGCAAAATATCAAACATTAACCAACCTCACTTGTGAGATTCAATGGTTATATTATCTTTTTCGTGATCTTCATGTTTTATTAGGTCCTACTGCAGTCTATTGTGACAATCAGTTTATAATTTATTTAGCTCATAATTCTGTATTGTATGAGAATACATCAATATTGATTATCATGTGGTTATATTGAGAAAATTCAACAAACCCTAATTCATCTTTTTTTTTTTTTGTCTTCCAACCAGCTTGCGAATACTTTGACTAAACAATTTTATCATACAATTTTCGACAACTCTATATCTAAGTTAGATCTTTGTGACATCCACCATCTAAGTATTAGTATAATTATTTTTCTATAACAAATATGGTTTTTTCATATATATAGTCATACTCCATTAGAAGGCGAGAAATTGTTAATAAAAATATATGAATTTCTTCCCAAGAGTAAAAACAACCAAACTACTTAATGCCACTGTGAGAACACAACTATTGGAAAAAAAAAAAAAAACAGCAGAATATATCCACGTGAGACTTTTCTTGACTTCTCTGTATGTGTGAAGGGTTAACGAATGGGACCGCGAACATCACGGACTCTGTCCCAAGATATAACTGCACCATAGTTAGAAGCTTGCTTTACAAAGGGAAGCACATATAGCCTCCAATAGGGGCTGCGTCCGGCGCAGCTGGTAATCCCAAGAAGACGGTGTTGTTGGGAGGAACGTGGGAGGTCCAACTTTTCCTTTAATTAAAAAGTAATGCAGTATTGCCAGGTTAGTATTGAAATGGAGGGTTATTGCAGAACTGAGCAAACACATAATCAAGAATCTCAGTTTTGATAGCTTCGTGGAGCTACTAATATGGCGTGTTTTAAGTGGTAAAAAGTTGATATAATTATACTTGAAATTGTTATGAAACCACTTATCTGATGCTAATTCTAATATATTTTTTTCTCAATATAGGATGAATTCGAGAATACCTTGATACAAGAGCAAATATCAAAATTGTGAAGTAAAAATTGAAAGAAAGAAGAACGCTTAAGCGAATAAATGATGTGAGGCCCAACCCAAATTCTCTTATAAAAAGATAAGATATGTTTTGAGAAAAGAAGGTAGTCTTGAAGAAGAGGAGGCACGACTACTGTTAGGGTTTCGTCTAATCTTTATTAATTCTTCACTTCTTCATCAATTAGAGCATTGTAATGGCCAACATGAGTGAGTAACTTCATTCTCTTAGGATTCGGTGCACTTCCTTTGAACTATTTTGTATCATGGTGATATTTTGAGATATTAATCTATGCTTTGACGTTGTTATTCTTATCCTTTATGATTTAGAATGATTTATTCTTGATTGTTTGAGGTATGATTGGAAAATATATCTTGAACCCTAGATCACAGTAAGAATATTTGTTACGTTAATTGTCATGAATGGAATGAATGTATCAATTGCTTAACACCTTAACCCTAATGCTGAAAAATCTCTTAATTATGTGAGGAATCAACATTTATTAGGTTTTCTTATGAATTTCATGTGTGAGGAATCAATGATTTGAGTATGTGTCATCAATATTGTTAGGTTATTTGATGTTCTTAATTGACATAGTCATTACAAAAGAGGGATAAGGAAAGAAGTCAATCCTAAGTGTCTTTAATTGATATTTTCTCAACAATTTACAATTTTTTGTCATTTAATTTCAATTCAATTCTTTATCCAAAACTCATTCTATTTTAATATACTTAGTAAGCATAATTGGTAATTTCCATTGAAACCGTTACTCGTGGGATCGACTTTTATTTAATCAAAAATTGTGATAGATAATTTTGGTACCTTTACCAATAATTCAACTGCATAAAACACTGTAGTAGTGCTGCTGACAAGTAAAAGTACTGGTTTTGCTGTCGGAGATCGTCTAGTTCCTTGACAAGGTCGTCCCAATAACCATCACCTTCAATGTCAAGATCGATGCCGTTCAGTGTTACACTTCCCTGTGGACCAAATTGGTTACTGAGGAAGTTTTGGAAGAGGTAATTGGCAACTTCTTTTGCATCCTGGGGTCCGAAAGCTGCTCCAAGGGAAAGGAACACTTTGATATCTTTCTGCTGGCAGTGTTGTATTTCGGGTTGGAGTTTGGTGCATGGGCTCCAGTCTCCAGAGTCTCAAAAGATGAATGTTATATATATAAATAAATAAAGTTAAGAGTTATGGTCATGAGGTTTTTGTTTTTTTTTTCTATATCACAGCAGCAAAATAATTGGAATAGTTGCTATATAGCACAACCTGTAGTTAAGAAGTATGATATCATGTCGAAACGTGTAAATGTTAAATTTAACATCTTTTCATTGTTGGTGAAACAAAAAAAAACTTTCATTCTACTTGATATGCATCTCCCAATGGAAAGGACCTCTCCTCCGACAATCTCCCCTCCTTCCCACCGCTATCTCTATCGCTAGCTAACACCATTTTTTTCTACCCTGAAAGTAATAGACAAACTCTGTCCTTTAACAGTTCCAACCAAGCCACCTGTTGTAGGCATAATATATAAAGAATGTTGACGTAGTAATCAATGGATAAAAATATAGGTAGGGGGAATGGAATTAATAGAGCCAAGCTTAATTAATTTATTGAAAGCAGATAAAATCCAGTACAAGAGGTGCATGGAATGGAATTACAAGTGGTTTATTATTGATTGGGCAGGTAGCTAGGAAGATTACATGCATGTGCACAGATGGTACTCATGCACGCAAGCATGCATATATAGGTAGACTAGCTAGCTAGAATGGTCCTAGATACCACCATTTCCATTACCATTGCCATGACACTGCATGGATTGGATATGTTGGACTAAATTGGTTGTAAAAAAGGTGATCTGCGAGCATTTGATGGACTAATAGAAGACTTGACCATTTGGCTGTATCGAGAAATAACATCATGTGCTCTGTCGAAGAGAGTAATTCCTGCAAAGGAGGGAGCTTGGGTTATGTAGGGAATGACATCCTCCTTAAGATGTTGAGGTGGTATATAACCTTCCTGATCTGCTGCTGCCGGTAGCTCCATGAATAAGGAGGTATCCTCATAGTCTTTAACATTGTTGACCCAAGCCTTCCATGACTTGAGAACCTGTGAAGCGTCATCACCAGAAAACTCACACGTCTTTCTACCGAAGAATTTAACATGGATGTAATCAAATTTGCCAGTTTTGATGGCCTTGTCAAGGTAGAGGTCTGGGAGAAAACAGTGAGGGGCTGCGGACAAGGAAAATTTAGTGTCCTTGTCCTCTCTGATGTTGTCGAGTTCATTCACAAGGTCATCCCAATAAGAGGTTGTACCGATTTGAATATCAAAATGAATGCCATCCAAGGTAACCTTACCAAATGGGCCTCCTTGACCACTGAGGAAGTTATCGTAGAGGTAATTGGCAACCACATTTGCATCGTCGGATGAGCAAAGGGAGTAGGATTGACTCGGTCCACCGAGGGCAAGGAGCACTTTCACACCTTTTTTCTGGCACCCTTGTATTTCCGAATGTAGACTCTTACAAGGCTTGATTCCCACACCACAGTGCCCATCAAAATCTAATGATGGGTCTCTGTTACAACCGAATTCCTTGAGGTAACTCATAAGGACAATCTTATAGTTGCCAGAGTTACATGTATCCTGCAAGCTCCCATCTCCAGGGTTCTGCCCCCAGTACACCGCAATGCCTGGTTTCTCCTTTTCCGCCAACGACGTTGTCAAGAGGAACAACACAGTCACTACCACGCTCAGTGATACTCTCTCCCAACTACCCATTCTCTCTATATTTTTCTTCACCTTACACCTTTAATTGCTTAGTTTCATGCAATTCGATGTTTCCCTCCAACCTATTTATAATCCTCGTAGCCTCATCAAGCGACATTTCTCCATGCAATACAGGACACTTAATTTTCCATGCCATGCACACACCTACACCGCATTTCCTTCCACGTGTAGATCGTAAAACATGCAACCACATGTGCTGTCATAAAGTTACATGCACGTTCTACAAATTCACTGCTGTCTAGCTTTGTACCTCATTGATAAGGCTCATTCCTTGCCTTCATCTAATTGGGATATGTTTTTTTGTGTTTGTTACAAATAATAAATCAAATTTGAAAAACAGAGAAATTCAGAACACCAATAATTTTTAATAATGATTATAATTCTGGAAAAAAGAGTTCTGTACATATTTATTATCCTTGTAATTCATTAAACGACATTTCTTCATGCAAGAGACGAGACTTAATCTTTTATACCATGCACAGCTACACTGCATTTTCTTTTTTCGACGTGTAATCATAAAACACATAACTGCATGCGCTGTCGTACGTTGCATGCACGTTGCACAAATGAACTGCTAGCTAGCTTTGTACCCCATTGATAATGGTCATTCCTTGCCTTCATTTGATTGGGATATGTTGCGGTTTTCTTTGTTTTGCCCTCCATGCATGCATTCATGCATGGCACAGGCGTAAAAACAAAAACTCAAAACTACTGCCATAAGTTGCAGAAGTTTACAGCTTCTGTATCGATCCCATCCATAGGGTCACCGCTTGCCTTCCCAAATGCTTCATTTAATTGGTATATGTTGCGGTTTTCTTGTTTTAGTCGATGATGGTATTCATTTAAATCAAATATTCATTTAACAACCTATTTTTAGTAGTGAACCTATTTTAATATAAATTCTAATTCTAAATTATTTTTTAATAATTAGTATTTTTTATTAATAAATTTATTTTGATAATTTTTTTTAAATATTAAATAATTTTTTTTATCAATTGTCCACGTATTAGATACCTTCATATTTATATCACTAGTGGAAAATGAACATTTTATGCCACTTATTTATCATTGGATTCAAAAATACTCTACTTAAAAAAAAATAGTGGCATTTGTAAATAATAGGCGCAAAACGTCGACTCCTTCTAGGTTTGAGATAAGAGTCACGTTTAATTCTCATCCAAGGTGTTGGTGGGAAAAAATCGAAAATCTGAATCGAAAATCGAAAGAAAAAATTTGATAACTATGTGCTGAAGGAAAATCGAGAAATCAGGAAAATTGAGAATCTGAATCGAAAATCGAAAGAAGAAATTCGATAACTATATGCTGAAGGAAAATCGAGAAATCAGAATCGAAAGAAGAACAGAGGAAATTCGATGAACATGATTGGGGAGTAAAAAATCGATTATAGGTATTGAGTGTGAAGTTAAGTGGGAAGTCAGAAACAGTTTAAAATACTCGATGGTTGAGGTCGAGATCGAGGGAACGGTTAATATGCACATGAAACATGGGAAACAGTTTTCTAAACCGTGGCTAAGGTCGAGATCAAGGGAACGTTTAATGTGCACATGGAACATAGGAAACGGTTTTCTAAACTGTGGCTAAGGTGGAAATCGAGGAACAGTTAACGTGCATATGGAACATGGGAAGCGGTTTTCTAAACCGTGGCTAAGGTAGAAATCGAGGGACAGTTAACGTGCACATGGAACGTGGAAGTGGTTTTTAAACCGCTCTTAGGAGGTTACCTTAAAGAAAATCTATAAATAGAGCGAAACATGAAGAAGGAAGGGGAAATTGGCAGAGAGAACAGAAACACAAGTGAACGAGTCTAACGGAGAACGACGAATCATGAAGTTTCTGGCGATCTGAATTTCCATTTTCATTGACTGTTGTTACCATTTTCTTTACTTTCCTTGGTACTTTATCTTTAATGCAATATAATTTTACGTGTCTTTACTTTCATGTTATTTTAATTCATTGTCATTTACACTTATGCAATTTTAAGATTTTGCATTTACGCTTAACGCAATACATCTTTGTCTCGATATTTTAATTTTATGTCATTTACTCTTAGTGCAATTTAATTTTACATACTACTTTTTGCTTCGACAACCTTTTTACTGCTTACTTTACTTCTGTTGTTAATCTTCATATTCTCGAGTTTCTTAAATAAAAATACAAAAAACAAGGGAGAACTTTTCAATTTCAGTATGTATGCTATGTTGCATTTTCTGTGTTTCTAATATGCCTGCTTTATTTTCCATTTGGCTCGATACCATGACATTTTCGATTTACATACATTTTTTTATTGAAAACTGTTTGTTAGCCTAAATAAAAAGAATTTACGTGGTTAAAATTTGGTTAGAACCTAAGTCTTTAGGACATCGAAAACAACCAAAATTTTCACCAGAAATAATTTGGTGCACCAGGTAGGGGGTGCGTTAAACACACAAAATTTGGCTAGTTCAAAAAGTGTATGAGATTAAGGAGTGGACGATTAATAAGAATGAGTCAAAATCCACCAAATAGTCAGAGTAATAGTGAGATTCCTAATAGTTCGAATCCACCAAACACTGGGGGGGCAAGTTCACAATGGAACTATGTCTGTAATATCGACAAATGTGAGTGCGTCGATTCCAGTGAATATTGAACAAAGCCCAGGGACATTAGCAAATACTCAGTTAGTAGAGTCTAGGACTATAATGTCAAACAATATGCAAACTACGGGAAGCCCCGTAACAACATGTGCAGGTCCATATATGAGTGTAAGACCGTCTGGATTTACGTTTAATAATATGAATGGAGCTGGTACTTCTTTAGTACAACGAAGTAAGAGATTTAACCTAGGAATGCCCCAAAACTTAGGAACATTTCAAACCTTAGGAATGTCTCAAAATTTTGGAGTATCCCCGAATTTAGGTGTATCCCAAAATTTAGTAATAACTCAGAATCCAGGAAATGCGCAAATTTTAGGAACATAACAGATGTCTCCAATCCCAAACCGTGATAACAATATGCATTCGATAGAGATTATCATCAATCTAATTTCGATGTTATCGAAAATGCTAGTACTGGAATTTCCAATAATTCATGAGGAGTGTTTCGACAACAAATGGATGAAAGTAATTTCGAGACGGTTAATGTGTTGTCATAACAGTTGACTACAGTATTAAACCCATTAATTCAAAATACTACTAATAGTTTTGAGATATTAGCAAATCAAATGACATGTATCAGGGATGCATTGGCAATACCTTGACAAACAAGGGTCAGAAATAATGCCAATCAAGATAATAACCAAAATATTAATATTAATTCCCCTTATTTATTAAGGAGAAATCGAAATGTTGGTCAATATCTGCATGTGAGGAATGATGCTCACGGAAATTTAAATGGGGGGTTTCAAAATATGTATAATCAGAATAACATGCAATACAATCATGTGTTGGAACAAAGGATGAATCCCCAAGGAGTGGAATTAAGACCACTTGACCAACCGTAATTTGTTTCTCCTTTTCCAAATACGATTCTCGAGACAGAATTACCTCGAGGATATAAAGTACCCAAGTTCACCAAATTTGCCGGAGAAATCAGTTAATCCACTATCGAGCATGTGACACGATATCAAATCGAATGTGGAGATATAGCTATGAATGAGGAATTAAAAATGAAATACTTCCCTAGTTCATTAACAAAAAATGCCTTCACTTGGTTTACCACTTTGCCACCTAACTCGATATATAATTGGCTGCAATTGGAAAGGAATTTTCATGAGCAATTTTTTAGGGGAGAGACTCAAGTAAGTCTTATCGAATTAATGAATATAAAAAGATATAATCATGAGAGTATAGATGATTATTTGAATAGATTTAGACAAATAAAATCGAGATGTTTTACTCAGATTCCCGAATTTGAATTAGTTAGAATGGCCTCTACTGGTTTAGAATTCTCGATTAGAAAGAAGTTGGTTAATTTACCACTGAATGACATGGCTCAATTAGCCGATAAAGTAAGAAGAGTGGAACAAATCGAGTATGAGAAGGAAAGATACAAGAAATTTGAGAAACCTATAAAGAAAGATAGGGTAGCGTACATAAATGACATATACGAAGAAAATCCCAAGACAGAAGTAGAAAATGAAGAATCTATCGATGAGAAAGTAAACATAGCAGAGCTCAAAGTAGGAGCTCCGTATATTTGTAAACTGTTGCAGAAAAACGAGGTAAAAGACAAAATGGCGAATCGAACATATACTTTTGATGTAACAAAAGCAAATAAAATCTTCGATATTTTATTGAAAGATAAACAGATTAAATTGAGTGATGATCATAAATTGTCTTCTTTAGATCAAAGAAATGGTCGAAAATATTGCAAATTTCATAATATTTATGGGCACTGGACTAATAATTATATACATTTCAGGAACACGATTCAAGATGCAATCGACCAAGGAAGGTTAAAGTTTGAGGAGATGTTGATGAAAGTGGATACTAATCCATTTGAAGTTCAGGTGGGGTATGTTGAGTCTCAGTCAGGTATTACTGAAGATGCTAGATTGGTAAATTCAGCCTTCATAGGTATGGTCGATGTTACTGAAGACATTGATCCTAGACATGTCAAAATGGACATGTCAGAGGAAGACATAGAGTTCGACTTAAATGAGTTCGAGAAAGAATTCAAGAGAGAAATTTATCCTCAAACAGAGGATTCGCTCATCGAATTTTTAACCAGAAAGAAAGAGAAGGATGAAGATGTGACATTATGTCCACGATGCAGCGCGGTGTTTGACAGATCGGCTGCTAAAGTCTTCAGGGAAGAGCAAATAAAAAAAGTGGAGAGCAGAAGAGTTACAATGTTAAAGGAAAACAAACAGTCCAGATGACAGTGGGAAAAAATTAGCAATTTGTTGGTTCTTGTTCTAGTAGAAATCAGATGCGATGGGTCAAGAAGGAGACATATTCTCCTTGGGGAGGAAGTAGATTTCAAAATAATGA